TGGATTTTACAGCGAGCAAGGGTTGGTTCGAAAAGTTCCAGAAGAGGTATCAGATTTACAAATAAGGAATCCTACTTTGCGGAATTTCATTTATCACGGTAGGGTCTAGAACCGATTAACCGCGATAAATGAGGGTTCACTGTAAAGCTTTTTCTTATACACATGTGAGTGTCTATGAATTTGTTTCTCTAGTCAACCCAGAATGACACAGCTCTGCTAGTGCCCTGGACCTTTATTATGGTCTCTGCAAAGCTGATCAGAAGGACATAAACCAGCATGTGTTTGCTTTATAATACACAGTCCAATTTAGATTTATAGAATATCTAAAGGAAACAATCTTTTAAATGTCAAGTCTCAGTTGAGAGATAAATTCAACCTAGCTGTATTCTTAATAATATATGTGAATAATGCAGGCAGGAAGAGTTAATATGAAATGACACAAACAGTGGCAGTGGCTGCTATAGTGGCACATTGGGCTGCTGACCAAAAGGTCAGTAGTTTGAAACCACCAGCCGCTCCTTGGGAGAAAGATGAAGCTTTCTACTCCAGAAAAGAACTATAGTCTCAGAAACTCACAGGAGCAGTTCTACTCTGTCCTGTAGGATTGCTGTGAGTCAGAATCGACTCAACGGCAGTAAGAGAAAATCCCAGCTATAGATAAGAGTAACTGATAAACATTGGTAATTGGTAATATTAAAAATCACACGCACTAACTTTTGAAAAATTAGATTTCATTATCAAAAGGAAAAATTGAAAATGGCTAAAAATGGCACGTATTGAAATGTTATTTTAACATTCTCCCCAAATTGATGGAAACAATACAAAACAAAAACAGTGAGACACAGGAATATGTAGTAAAGGAAATGGCAAATCCAAAAGCCCTTCTTGAGGTGGGAGCCTAGTGACACATGACAGGAGCCAAATGAAGGTCAAGGTAGCAGAATCCAGCCAGGGAAGGGAAAGTGGTAGTGGACGCTAGATCATGGAGGTCATATAAGGACCCGAGCTTTTTCTCTGAGTGGGATAGGAAGAAACCTGATTGCTATGAGTCCAGGAGAAGTTTGGTTTGATTGACGTTTTATAAAGACCATTCTCGGTACTGTCTGAAGAATAGACTGTGTGGGGTGGGGCAGGGAGGCAGAAGCAAGAAAATCAATTAGAAGGTTATTGCAAGAAATCCATGGCTGTTGGCTTTGACACAGAGAGGCCCCCGTGTGTCAGAGTAGAACTGTGCTCCATACGCTATCCAGGCTTGCTTTTCTTCTTGGGGGCTCTGGGTAGCCTCTCGCCTTCAACCTTTAAGTGGACAACTGAGCACCTTCACTACCAGGAACTCTGATTATGGTAACACACCAGGGAAACGGTGGTGGTGGGGACCAGGGTGGTGACTGAGAGAGTGACGGATTCTTTACTTGTCTTGAAGTTTTATTGATGGTCACTTGGATGTGGTGTGTGCATCTAATCTGCTCGGGGTTGTGTTTCCGGGAGGGACTTTCCCAACACACATAATAGCATCAGCAACAGTCCGAGAAGTGGGATAGCAAGGCCAGGGTTCGAGTCTAGCTCTGAAGTGACTGGGAGAATAGCCTTCTGAGTGGCACAGGGGACCCAGACGGAGGCAGGCACGGTATAGCTGCCCCAATGCGAATGCTCTCGCTGGAATTGAACTAGGAAAATGCCCAGGAGAAGGCCCTTGAAAATGCTCTCAGGAATCTGAAAGATATGGAGA